TACAATACTGTTAGTTTATAAATCACTGAAAGGCTTAACACCACAATACATTAAAGATCTGCTGCTGTTGTCCAAAAACTTCCAGACCCCCCAGGTCTTCTGGCTCTGATCTACTCTGCATCCCCAGAACCAGAACCAAACGAGGAGAAGCAGCATTCAGCTTCTATGTACCACAAATCTGGAACAAACTTCCAGAAAACTGTAAAACAGCTGAAACACTGACTTCCTTTAAATCTTGACTAAAAACCCACCTCTTTAGATTTGTATTTGAAACCTAATCAATTACAAATTTAACAAGGGCACATGACTTAATGTAATGTTTTGATTGTTGATTCTATGTTGCATGACTTTGTGTTTTTGTGTTTGTTATGATGTAAATCACTTTGAAATGCCTTGCCGCTGAAATGTGCTATACAAATAAAATTTGATTGAAATAATTGATTTGTAAAGGGTTTTTTCCCCCCCAAAAAATTAAGACACGCTTGCGTTTTCTTTTTTACAGGATGAAGCAGACTTTATTAAGTCATTGACCTATTATCTCTACCTGTGGTCCTTTGAGTCTGCAGCAGAAAAACTCAAGAATGAGCTGCAGCTCTGAAGCCTCACCTCTTTGACTTCAGGATAATTAGGAGCTGAGCCTCCTCCCTGGAATAAATCAGCAACATGCATTAATTCTAATCAGCATGTTCAGTCGGGCTTGACCGGCGCAGCCCGAGGGGCAGGAGCACTTGTCTGAGTGTTTGAGTCCCATCCATGTGGCCAGCCATGCTGAACCATGCTCTTCAAGGTTCACTGCAGAGTTCCTGCACCATCACCAGCAGTAGCAGAGCAGGTTGTTTCTGCAGAGCTCACCTGAATAACCCTAGCTGACCTTTTTGACAAACACTTGCAGGGATGATGCATCTCATCAGGAGACGGTTAAACTCACCATGCAAACTGCTGATGAACAAATATATATATATATATATATATATATATATATATATATATATATATATATATATATATATATATATTTTTTTTTTTTTTTTTTTTTTTTTGAGAAACACTGATGTAGGAGCAAGTTCAGTTCTAGATTGTTATAAAAAAATGTAACATTGATTTGGGTTATTAATGGTAGATGTTGCAATGACACCATCACAATACATAAATACATTCATTCCAAATGTCTCTGTGGCCTTTAGCATCTTGGATACAGTAAGAGTCATCACAGACGTCATAGTCCAGAGCAAAAAATCATAAAAATACACCAATCAGGGATGATTGCCACTCTTATCCAGAAGATGGCTCTACATGTTTTTATTCCTTTTTTCTTGAGTGCTATGGCAGATAATAAGTAGGCAGAGATACCATCTAAAGGACTCCACACCAAAGTAGATTATTTCACTTATTTTATAAACTAATCAATTTCTAGAAAAACTAGTTCTTACCTTGGACTTGAGAGTCCAGTAATCCTCTGTGCCGTACTCCACATGTCTGAATGCTGTCAGATAGTCGTAGCTGATCACTGCTGTCTGCAAACACAAGCAGAAATGGGTGAGGAAATTCTATGCAGCTTTTATTGCGACATTAAACCAGAAGGTCTTCTAGATTAGGTGAACATGTGTTTAAGACTTTAAAAATATCTGTGTTGAGTTAAAGTAGTTTTGCAACACTAAAAGCAGGTTTATGTTCCAAGCAAACAGTCCAATTTCAAAGCTACATCTCATCAGAGCGGTTTGATCCTTTTACAAATATTTAGTCCCAATGAGAAGATCTTAAAGACAATAATGTGTAGTGCAATGCCTTACCTATACACTAGTGGTTTATACGTCACATACACTAATCATTTTGCTGCTAAAAATCACATCACATGTTGGAGTTGTGAATGCATGTTGTAGTCCAGATCTCAGCTTAAAGACTGCTTCTTATTCTCAGTATGTCCCAACTGAAAGTGCAAACATTCACCTTGACCTTTATAACCCCAGAAAAGCCCTGAAATCATCCAGCTATATGTTCTTAGTGCAGTGAAAGGAATCAACCCAGAGGGAATCAGGCTTTTGCAGAGGCAAGCCCTAGACTCTGGAATAACCTGCCTCCTGATATGCTACAGCATCTATACAATCTATTAAAAAGTAAAAAAAAATAAATAAATAAATAAAAAATAAAAAAAAGACATTTGTTTTTCAAATTTGGTTTCAGTCCAATGGGGTCTTTTATTATGATGTTTCTCCTTGTTTTAGCATGTTTATACACACATTTAAAAAAGTGATTTATGCTCTTTTCTGCTTGTTTTAAATAGTTACATATCTAAAAAGAAACTATGTTATGGCTGGTGCTCCATATAGCAGATTCACAGAGCTCATCTAACCTACAAACAAAAAATAAACAAATGAGCAATAACCTTTTCTGCCTACAGTCACTGTCTCTCAGAAGATGTGATCAAACTCAAATCAGACATACATGTGAGAACATTTAAGATGTGAACTCACAGTGGATGCTGCTCGTCCAAAGCGGATCACACTCAGGTCATTGAGGTCAAGCTGCCTGTTGTAGAGATAGAACCCCGAGGAGGCGAACACTACTGTGGCCAGAGATGAGACTTTTAGGAGCCGGCCCGCCATTGGAGACCTGTAGAAGAAGAAGAGGTCCAATTAGTTCACGTTTAAAGACATAAAAAAAGAAAACTGTATCTTTTTTGTAAAGATAACCGAGAAAGAATTAATGAAAATTGAAAATGCCAATAAAAGTCAGACATTAGTTTCAGCAAACACCACCACTCTGATCTTAAAGCACTTACACCGAAAGCTAAATCTAGCCACATGAAAATGTCACTCCTAAAAACAAATATTTTATGGACTTCTGCAAGACTTGGATTTTATAAGGAACTGAAATCTGTGGTTTAACTGCTGGTCATTTAATTTCATAATTTCACAAATATAAACAAGTAAAACATGTCCTCTGCGTATTGCGTAGTAGATCTCAATGTGAGTTTTAGATTTTGAACAAAAACTATTGGAAAATTAATAATGATAATAATGGAGGGCGGGGGGGAAACGCAGATGCTTCTCGAATGGAATGTACCATGAATACTTCCTCCTTATTAAGGAACTAATTCCAGACTGTTTTGATACGTTCACTGCATTCTATTCAAAGAGTTACTCATTTAAAGGACTTGTGTTTTTACGCATGCTGTCAGCTGAGCTTAAATGATAAATGACAGATTGTACTCATGAGTGAAACCTACTCTTCTCTTCGGCACTCACCCCAAGACGGAAGAGAGAGGCTCAGGTGTAAAATCCCACTCCTGATAAAAGCTCCTCCACTGCCGTCTAGCAACGGGTCTCAAACACCATCTTTAAGTTGTGTTCTTCACGAAAGCACCATATTTAAAATGACACAAATAAGTTTCAGTCCGCTGGCAGTGCTGACCTGAACGCCTCTTGAACATCTGAGTTATGCAACAACTGTTTGGTGAGTGCTGTGAGAGTCGGAGCGAGCTAACAAAAACAGAAATCTGTCACACAAACAGACACGCACAAACACTTAGCTATCTGAACTTAGAATATCAACTTGGCTGAAAAATCAACCACAGCCTGCGCATCGCTCTCCTTCACTTACCGGTTTGATTTGCGACCTCTTAGCCGGGTTTTCGAACGAAAAGGAACTCTGGGTAATGCAGTTTCAAATAAAAAGGTAAGGAATTAATTCAGATTTATCATTAAGTCATAATAGCACCCTGAGGCATTAAGACTATACTCAAACTACAAAAATATTTTCCAAAGGTATTTATGTTAGTACAGTAGATTTTTACGTTTTTTTTTACGATGATTACGGCAGTTTTAAACTACATTTCTGGTGACCTTAGTGACGTATTAATATGCGTCTCGGTCAACAAAACGTATTCGCTACACCAGTGATAGATTCACATGAAGCTCGGAAACCCAAAGTGTCATTAAAATAAAACAAAACTGCTTTAGATAATGTTAAAAATATCAACATATACGTAAAATGTATGCCTTATTTGGAAACACAAAATAATTTCGAATAATAAATAAAACATAAGATGTTCAATTTTGTTAAGAAGTATTAGAAATATTCCTTGAAATGTTCTTATGAAATATATGTTTTTTTTAGATTAGGAGGGCAATTTATTACTTCCACACAAAAATATAAAAAAAAAAAAAAAAAAAAAAAAAAATAGGTGAGGAAACATGTTCTTACTTAATTCAAATTACAGGTTTTTGTTGTTTTCACATTTTTTCAGAAATGCAACAAATATTTATTTATTGTAAAAGAAAAACAAAATGTTTGATTTTGTTACAAGACAAATAAAAAATGTGTTTAAAAACTGAAACTAATGGACAAATATTAATATTTGTCCATTCCTCTCAAAACAAATATTTTAAATAAAACATGGCATTTTGACAGCGTGGATGTTTTATTGTTGGGTTCACAAATTAATACATATTATCAAATGCAAAAAAGAAATGAAAATTAAGTTCAAAATTCACTTAAAATATTAAAATGTTTGTGAAACGTGTGGGAGATACAGTGATTTAACGTAAAAAATTTAATACTGCATTCACTTCATGCAACATCCAAATTTTCACTTACCTGAGAATTTTGCAACAAAGGTTGAGTTTAGTATTTTATTTTTCTTTAAAAGTATGTTAATAAAATTTCTCCAATATTAAGGTCAATTTATATAGTTTTCATGATACTTAGTTATCTTAGCTTGTACTTAGGACATAATAAAATTTTCTATTTGCATAGTAATTTTTTCCCTTGGATTTTTAAAAAAAATATATATGATATGACATATGCACATGGGTTGCAGTGTCCAAGTGTACTTCATTGACCGTTGGAGATTGACACCAGCACCTCTCACATCCCCAAAAGGAATATATTTTTTGTCAAATGATCGTGATTAAATGTAGATTTAATGTGAACTCTTCTGCGCCAGGAAAATGTATGCATCCATTACATGGAGAAACACTGGCAATGAAAGAAAATCCAAGTAAAATAGCAATAAACATTTTTATTGATTAAAAACAACTGACAGTATGTGATGGAGAGCAATCTTTCTCACAATAAATACAGAATTTATTAGTCAAGCGAGTCTGAAAAATGAAATCTTTCCTGTCGTTGGATTCCATGCAGACACATTGAGCGTGCTTCTGTCCGAATGGTTTATTCAGATGTAAAGCAGGAGGAATGAAGCATTCCAACAAAGAAAACATTTTTGGTCTCATCTGCTCAGCAGAACCACCAAGCTTCAGACAAAGTCTCCATCTTTGTTGGACTTCTGTCCTTCAAAGGGACGTCTGTTCCTCTGAACAAAAAGCTGGAACCAAAGAATAGCATTGGTTAAATAAAGTGGGCTGGACTTTTTCTTTTCCATACTGAGACTAAAACCATTCATATTGGCTGTAAATCCTGTCTAATCGTTTACCTTTGCTCCTTCCAGAATATGGGGGTCCTTCTGCAGCGCGTTGTTTAGTCCCTCCTCTGTGGAGAATAAAACCCAGCAGAACCCTTTATGGAAGCCGGTGTCTTTGTCCTGATCAAACACAAAGATCAGTCAAATAATACCATAAAAGCAATGGGACATTTTTACAAAAAAAAAAAAAAAAAAATCTATCTTCGTCTCAAAATGCACAAAGTTTAACATCCTGTTTTTAACTGTACTGAACTAAAAGCAAAGGAGTGAAAACTTACAAATGGAAGGGTGCACCTCTTCACTGCACCAAACTGTCCAAAATACTCCTTCATCTCCTCTGAAATATAAACAGATTGGTTGAGAATTCAGGACTCATCCTTTAACATCCTGAAGTTTACCAGACTTCAAGTTCATCTTAAACAGTAATATTGTCTGAAGTCTTTCAAGCCTGGCTTGGGTACAATCTTAAAATTAGCCCAAATTTAAATGGGTTTTTAAAATACATGGACTGGTCAAATCTAAACTGACTTTTTTATTAATTTATTTATTTATATTTTTTTATTATTACGTAGTGTTCAGTTTGAAGACAGACGTTTCCTCTCTGATTTTACAAAAGAAAATAAATGTTAAAAGATAATGTGTTTAAAGGATGAGAGGCTACTTAATGGGATGTCTATTATATAGCCAATGCCATTAAAGTTGGCAGCTGTTGATTATTAAGTATATTAAGTATGGGGCTGGAATTGTGAGTAAACTACCTGCAGTCAGACTGAGTTATAGAGTTTGAGTGATGTGACAAACTCTATAACTCATTGATCTTAGGATCAATCTTCGAGCGATAGACTAATGTATCCCTCTTTTCCTCTTGGGTGGCAGCTGTGTTAGGGTTTGATGTCAAGTTCTGCACTTGGCTTTCTTTCTAAATTGACAAGTGCTCACTTTGTTTTATATATGTATACAATTTGTTTTCGGACGTGGAAATTGATACAAGTACCCTGAACTACTAGTATGAACATAGCTACAGAGGAAAATAAATAAAAACAATTTATTGCAAAGTCCGACACATTAAAACCAGTCAACCACAGGCTGAGTTGACCGATCTGTCCTCACGTGTTACATCACAGGCAATTAAAAGCACCCAGAAAGAGGTTTTTTTTTTTTTCTCCATTTACAATTTTCATAAAAATGTCGGCAAAAATTGATAACAGGAAGAAGACTCACTGCCAGCTACAGTCCAGGGGATTTTAGTCACAAACACCTCCAACACTTTCTTAGCCGAGGCTGCCATCTTGTCTCCTTCTCCTGCAACTATGACCCCTGACGTATACAGGCACGTGATCCAACATGACTCAGTTACGTCATGGCCAAGATGGCAGCCTCCATGGTGGCAGAAAGCGGAGAGGATGTTTTCAGGAAAATGTTTAAGTTTTATAAAAGAAGAGATCCGCCTCCAGACTTAAGGGAAGTGACGGACTTCAGCAGCGGAGCAGCATCGGGAGGAAAGGTCTCTTGCAGGATCTATCTGCAAATATGTTTGAGTGAACTGACAAAACCTGAATTCTGATGGTCTTACAGGTTAAAAAAAACTGTTCCAAAGTGATGCTGCTAAGTTTGAATACCTTAAAACAGAAAACAGAGTTCGAAGGATTGGGTGCTGAGAGAACAGTGGTAGTAATTTTGATATGTCTTGATATTTTTGTGTTAAAACGGCCAGATTGTTCCAGTAAAACTGGATCCAGCTGCTGTGAGTGATGAAGAGGCTGCCTGTGTCGGTTTGCAGCCCATCAGAGACTGGAGAGCTTTCGGACTGCAGGGATACCCAGGTACATGAAAACACTGTGGCTCTGAAGGAGGAGTTTCTTCTGGACTCCTGCCTTACAGTGGACTAGAAGCTCTGCATCAAGCCAATGCACAAGGTCAACTAACTTTAATAGTCCTCTGTGTCTTTTGTAGGCTTTATTTTCATCTCCAATCCTTTCCTGCGGGGCTCCCAGGCTTTCTGGGTTAGGCAGTGTTTGAAGACATACCCTCAGAAACCGAACGTGTGCAACTTGGACATGCACATGTCACCCTCTGACACGCAGGACATCTGGGCCAGGAGTGTGCAAGCTCTGAGGTGGGAAAAGCTCAGACAGTAGTGTCATTATTTCACTAAATATTGTTAAGTAATGGGTGCTAGAATTTTGCTGCTGATAGTATCAGCTTGTTATGTTACTTCTGATTTTTATTTTTATTATTTTTGTAGACTTTTATTCATAAGTGATTTTGATTGAGATGTTGCATGTTTGGACATCCATCCCTTACTTTCAGACAGATGATGTGTAACTGTGGTTACAAGGTATTGTTTGTACAACTGAGAGCAGCTGATTAGCGTTTCAAAATCTCAGGTAACACCTGAGCAGCGACTCCAAATCCCCCAGGAGTTGAAATGGAGGTTTCATGGATGCAGAGGGATCGGAATGGGCTCAGATCCCATTCCTGACTCCAACATATCTCTGTCAGTTTTCTGACAATGCGACCAGACAGGTTTAAAGAGGCGCAGCAAAAGCAAATCGGGCGGATTAGCAGTGCTGGCCAACAACTGATGGTGTCGTTCAGGACATGTTACAGTGAAATATCGCTTCTGCTACCTGGAAATTGAGCTGTTATCGTTGTATGACAGCCATTGGATCTGTCATACAGCAACAATGTTTTCAGTCAGAGGTCTCTTTAGATTTGCTGAAATACCAACTAGTACTAAAGATCCTTCAATAACTCTTTGAAGATCCTTAGATGAGTTACAACAATTATCCCCACTGGGATAAGTAAAATATTTTTTATTTGAATTTTCCCACCAGCAGATGGTGCTATAGTGAAAGAGAAAGCCCATGCTTGAAGAATCCCATTTTGGATGGATGGAAAGTCTGATAAAGCAATTTCCAGATTTTTTTTAGAGTTCACTCTAAAAAGTTGGTCTAAAGCAACTCATCCCTAAGCAGCCAGCATGCACTGACCTGAGTATATAAATCTTCTCCACAGGACTCCCGCTTCTGTAAAGAGACAACCAAAATCTCTACTAGAGAGGCTGCGTTGGGTAACCCTGGGATACCATTACAACTGGGACACTAAGGTGAGGTTGCAATGTACCTGCACATGACAGAGAAACATTTTTATCAGTAAAATTGTACATACATAAAATAGTGTCAGTGTTTGATCAAATGTTTTTTTGTTTTTGTTTTTTTGTTGTTGTTTTTTTAATGATGGCTTAACCTTTAATAGTGTAATATTATCTATTTGCATTCCCATATTTAAGGTTGTCCAAATTGCCTCTAGTTTTAGTTTACTTTAGAAGATCTGGCAGGAAATCTCAGAAATCATACATTAAAATAAAATTCCCTTAAATTTCCAGGAGCTTAACATATTCCCACTGTTTATGTGTTCCAAGACTTACTGTGCCAAAAGTTTCACGCCATTCCCGGCTGATCTGCACATGCTCTCCGAGCGGATAACAGCTGCCTGTGGCTTCCCGGGATTCAACTCGGAGGCAGCCATCCTGAACTACTACCGATCAGATTCCTCCCTGGGAATCCACGTGGACGAGTCAGAGCTGGATCACTCTCGTCCTTTGCTGTCGCTCAGGTGAGAGGAAGAAACCTAGACTGCCTCAAAGGTTCTGCAGGATTGTGGGAATGTCCTCAGTAATGTGGTTTTGTTCCCCGCAGTTTCGGACAGTCGTCCATCTTCCTGCTGGGCGGCCCCCACAGACGAGACCCCCCCACTGCTATGTTCATGCACAGCGGAGACGTGATGTTGATGTCAGGACCGAGCCGGCTGCTGTATCATGCCGTCCCGCGGATTCTTCCGGCTCCGCCGCAGCGTGCGGCGCTTTTAGAAGAGCTCAACTGTGCCTCGGGCCTGCAGACGGGCAGCGTCCTGGAGCCGGTGTCTCAGGAGGATTGGGATGTGTGTTCCAGGTATATTCAAAGCTCCAGAGTGAACATGACTGTCAGACAGGTGTTGGGATCTGGACAGAGCTTCCCAAAGGAGCCAATGTCCGCACTCCAAACGGGCGACGAGGGCTGGATGGTCGGGTGTCATGACGATGGAAACAGTGGGAAAAGGAAGAGGACATGCAGTGACCCTGTGGGGACGGTAGAGACGTGAAACACACACAGAGCTTTTTACATCTAAAGAAAGCCACTTCTGAAATGTAAATTTTCAGGCAATAAAATTAAAAGGTGTTTTGGAGTTCTCAAAAAGGTTCAGAAATTTAATTCCCAACCTATGAAAACTGTCTGCATCCTGCACAAAGCAGCTTAAAGGGATATTTATTTTTTTAATGTGTCTTTAAATATTTTAAAGTTACAGAAAGCCAAGTTTATCGCTACAGAATCAGTCAATCAATGACTGAAACGCTTCTCTGGTGCTGTTCAGCTCACCTCCATGGTGGACAAGTTTACACTACTAACTTGTGAAAGAGAAGTCTTGAAGGAAGAACTTGGAGAAATCAATAGGTTTATTTGTGTAATCAAATGTTTAATGTAGACTGTAGTAAAACTGAGTGACTATGAGTTGTATGTGTGTGTGTGCTTCAATAAACGAGAAGCTTTGAGATGGATTAAAGCATGGCGTTGGCTTATATTCAGATTTAAAATTCTTCCCTCCCTTTTGCAGCTGCAGTAACTTATTTTCCACTAGGTGGCAGCAAATCACCAAAAAAAACAGTAGTGGAGCAGCGCTTTGATACGCAGTAAACCATGGAAAACCAAATATGAACTTATTTAATGTCTTGCTTATATAAATAAGTCTTCCATATGTCTAAACTGTGCATGTTTTTCATCTGTATTTACTTCTTTCTTGATTAGAATCAACTGAACAATGAATGTCTGTGGTTTCATCCAGTTTGACCAACAAAATGTGTAGAAAAAAAAAAACATTCTCTAAGACAATCATCCTCAGATGATATTGCCGTGTAGCTTTCCTTCTTGAATAACTGTATATAGGTTATATAAATATTTCTGACATGCTAAAGACTTAAAAATCGACTAAAAATGTTTACAAAAGTTTCTCTTTAATCAATACCAGAACATCTGTGTCAGTCCTTTAAATCTTAGCTCCTGTGCAAGCTCTTTTTTTTTTTTTCCAAAGATTGTTCTGTTCATGTAATGAAAAGGGCTTTACTGTCAATGTCTGTTTTGCAGCCTGGACCTACACAAAGATGTGCTATGTAAACTTCAACAATTTAGGTTGCATTTTTGTTGTATTTCAGGCGAAACGAGCATAAAACCCATGCAGGCATGCAAGGACATGTTCAGACCCCAAAGAGAGAGACCCCAGCAAAGTTTTAAGTGGGAGAATGTGCTAGTTGCAAACTACCACTTTGAAATAAAGCCTTCACTACCATGAGGGCGTCATGGCAAGGAAATGTATCCTTTCTCTATAGTCTCTCCACAGGTGTTCCCCACAGCGCTGTGCAGGGACGCCTCTTCGTTATGAACTCCAACTCTTCCTTTAAAACAAATCTCTGCTCCTTGTTTTTATTATGCCAATGCTATTGCAATGATGCCCAGCTTTACTTTTTATTCCAACTGGATGGCCACAAGGTTTCTGCTCAAATCTCAGCAAAGATAAAGATAAAGACCACCATTAATAATGACTTTTGGTGACCCCTTTTTTTATTTTAATCAAGCCTGCATCTAAGACAATATCAGTGCTGTATCTATTCATCATCAGTGAAATCTGGTAACATTTGTCTCAAGTACGCCCACAAACTCTTGGAACAGGCTATAATCACATCAAAGGTTAACAACTATAGATTTCCTGTTCTCCGATGACTCACTTCTGGAAACACCTCTAAGATCTTAAGACTGAACGTTTAGCTGTAAATCTGAAAACTGTAACAAAATATTTAATAGGTGGCATAGAACTACTGACTGTCTCTTGATAAGGATCAGCCTCAGATCTCCATGGGTGACGTTTTGATTTGAGCTCCATTGTGCTTGTTTGTATGTTAGTCTTGAGTCAGACTCATTAAAACAGGACCAGCAGTGTTTAGTTTGAACAAAGCAGGTGAAATAGGGTTAATCAGTGTCTTTAAGCTGCAGCTGTGAGCCTGTAGTTTCCACCATCAGTATTATTAAACTTCCATCTGACATTCTTCTCCTCCACCTTCAACTCCGCTGCCTACTAATGAACAACATTCATGCACATCATTATAAATCCCATAAAACACGTCTGTGGTGGGATGAGTGTGGATGCTGTGGTCATGCAGTTACTGTGATCATGTTTTCTGATTAAAACCTGAAGGCTTCAAGACGAATCTTCTAT